CAGGTCATGATCACGTGGTTCATGAGTTCGAGCCCCACGTCGGGTTCTGTGCTGACAGCTCGGAGCCTAGAGCCTGCTTCAGATTCTGTGTCTCCCTCTCTTTCTGCCCCTCTCCCACTCATGCGTGCTCTCTCTCTCTCTCTCCCTCTCTCTCAAAAAATGAATAAACATTAAAAAAATTTTTTTAAGCAGTCACTTGATTTATCTTTTTGGTGTATCTGCCTTATTTTAAGATAAATCTTTTCTGAACCTTCAGTAAGATTTAAGAGGGAAGCAAAGTAGTCTGCCATTTTGATCCATCTGTGAATGAGTCTGATGTGGATATGAAAATTGTTACATGGTAGATGGGGAAGGGTCTCACAAAGGCATATGAGTGCAACACTGACTGCCATCACGCCCCTCACAAATTGTCATTTCTTCTTCCTCTACGTGAAGCATTACTCTTCTTCCTGAAGCCCTTTCTTTGAAAATGCTCCCTATGCCTGTATAGGTGCTCCATGATGTGAATTTATCTTTTTCTTCCAGTGCTGTATTAAATGAGAATAATGTGCCCCTTCCTGAAGATTCTCTTGCTCTGATGCATACCACACCTGCAGCAAATGGTTCTGTTCTTAAGGTAACAACCCTTACTTTTGAAGGTTTCTCTGAAGACCATACTGAGTTGAGTCCTGCAGTATAATCATAGACATCTGGTGATTTCTGATGGATACCGGAACTTAAGCTGTAAGAAAAGCATTGAGCCTCAGTTCTCTAGGGAGAATCCTATTGTCAGATCTCTCACAAGAGTATCACAGGGCTTCTTCAGTTTCTCTGTTATTTGTTGGCCTTTTGTTTTAGGTGCTCTTTGTATTTTTGTTTTTTTGATGCTGGCTATGCCTCCCTAGTGTCTCAAATGATAGATGACACATAGTAGGCACTAAATAAATATTAATTGAAACACCAGCAACCTGTCATTGTGTTGGCAGTGTAACCAGGTCATCACAGCCCCTGCCTTCCTGATAGCCACTTGTCACACCTGTATCAGTCTAGAAATCAGAGAAACCCAGTTCATTGCCCACTGAGTGTTTTAATTTGCAAGTTAAATAAGAAATTGTCCTTGCAAATAAACGTTTACCTCTTTAACTACATAAATGCATTTATTGTAGAAATTTGCCAAATCCTTCATAAAGAGAAAAAATTAGGAATCTCCTATATTCCCACTATCCAAAGACAATGTATACTTAATATTTAGGTGTATAATTTTTCAGACTTTTGGGTTTTAAAAAAATCCAACCTAAAATATCTTCAGTCAGGAGCTTCCTTTCTGCTCATTAAAATTCTAAAAAGCCATATTGACATTGTTGGTCATTGAAATTGAAGTGGAACCTGAGATTTTTTGGAACAGAGAAGGACATTTAATTCAAAGATTTATTGCATTTATAATATGTACCAGGCAACACGCTAGTTTCAAAAATTCAGAAGTGAATGAAACACGGCCTCTTTTTTCAAACTGCTTATATTCCACTGGGGAACAGAATTTTAATACATTGTGGTAGAGACAGATACACGCTGTTTGGGGGCACTCACCCAGGCCACGGCGGGGGGGTGGGGGGAAGGTTGGTATAACAGGAGGGAGATGTGAGAAGTGAGAGAACAACTTTTTCCTATGTGTGATTAAAATTAAGTTGAATGTTGAGACATAAATAGGAGATTGACCACAGCCTCAAGGCAGATAGGTGGAAATAGAACTGTATAAGCCAAGGGCCTGTTTGTTATGTGTACTAGACCCTGAATTCTTCTTTTATTTCCAGATTGGAATTTTATCTTTTATTCTCTTTAAGTTCTTCCTACCTACCTACCTTGTCTCTCTATCTCTCTCTTCTATAGTGCAGAGCTGCATCTTCCATAAGGTGTTTCAAATAGTAATTAAAAAGTGTTAATTAACATTTATGGGGGAAGTTCATATTGTACTTTTCTGTAAACAGTGATGTACTGGCACATCTGGATAAAGCAGTGTTTGTAATTTAGGCATCTTCTTCACTCACTGTCTCCTATGCTGAACCTTTTTACCTCTCTCTTCAAGTCTAAGAACTAAGAGCCAGGACGGTCTTAACCTTACCCGAGTTTTGTCTCACTAAAAAGAGTAGCTGTGTAAAAATTCACATGATACTTTATCTTTTTCAGCTTCTGACTGTAGTCTGGTTCCTCTTCAAGCAAAAGTGGAATCACTGTAATAACCATGATTCCTGAATGTCCTGAAGTTTTTTAAAGGTTAACACCAAGCAGGCCTGAGTCAGAATTGTAAATTGAGAAGATGCGGAAAAAATTTAGTTAGGTGGTTAATGATTCATTTAACAGTTATGTATTTTTTATCTTCCCTAGGATGCTACAGATGAATTGGATGCCTTGCTTTTATCTCTGACTGAGAATCTAATTGACCACACAATCACACCTCAGGTAAATATGCTTAAAACAGCAAAGTGGAAAGGAATTTCTGTTTTGAAAAGTATTCCTGCTACATTCCAATCTTTGCCTTTTTTTAAAAAAAAGTTTATTGGGGTGCCTGGGTGGCTCAGTCGGTTAAGCGTCCGACTTCGGCTCAGGTCATGATCTCGCGGTCCGTGGGTTCGAGCCCCGCGTTGGGCTCTGTGCTGACAGCTCGGAGCCTGGAGCCTGTTTCAGATTCTGTGTCTCCCTCTTTCTCTGACCCTCCCCTGTTCATGTTCTCTCTCTGTCTCAAAAATAAATAAATGTTAAAAAAAAAATTTTTTTTTTAAATAAAAAAAAATTTATTTTGAGAGAGTGTGTGTGTAAGTAGGGGGGAGGGGCAGAGAGAAAGAGAGAGAGAGAAAGAGAGAGAGAGAGAGAGAGAGAGAGAGAGAATCCCAAGTAGGCTCCATGCTGTCAGTGCAGAGCCCCACACAGGGCTTGATCTCATGAACTGTGAGATGGTGACCTGAGCTGAAATCAAGAGTCAGACGCTTAGCCAACTGAAGCACCCCCAAATTTTGCCTTTTTAACCATATAGTAAAACTGTTCATTTAATAAGAGGCCATACTTCAGTAACCACTTAGCTTTGCCTTTCTACTAAAATTTCACCACTTTGAATTTATGTGTCACTTTATAGAAACCACATATTACTATAAGCCTCTTTGTTATTCAACATTATATTAAATAACATGAGAGGAAGACTGTGGAGATAAATAGAGTTAAAACAATAAGGATATAGAGCATAAGAATGGTTGGCATTGAACATATTGATTGTTACTGCAGTATGGAAGATGCTCTGTTGGATACTATGGCTGAATTATAATACAAATAAGAAACAGTTCTTTCCTGCCAGAGACATAGGGATGAAAGGTATACAAATAACTCATTTAGTGTCTTCTGAGTAACATGACAAGAACTGCTTTGGGAACTACAAGTCATTCTTAAGGCTTGGAAGTACAGATAGTGCTTTCTGTGCAGCTGGGTGTTTGCTTAGATCTTTAGTTCTTAAACTTAGGTGTGTATCAGAATCATCTGGAGGGTGCATCAAAGATTACTGGCTCCGCCTTCAGAATTTCTGATTTGGTGTCAGGGGTTGGGGCCTGAGGAGTTGCATTTCTCGCATGTTCCAGGTGATGCAGATGTGGTTTGGGAACTACTCTTTTGGAACCACCAGCTTAGATCAATAAACAGAGACTTGACCAAAGGATAAGAATAAATCACAAATCTGGAGAAGTGGATAGGCAGAAGATAAAAGGGAGATTGTCAGTATTGAGCCATGGTAATACTTTATAAAGACAAAAAAAAAAAAAAAAAAAAAAAAGGAACTTTGAAGATTAATGTAAGATGGCCTAAAGGCCAGAGAAGGAATCCCTGGGGCATAACTCAGAACCTTATTCCATGTACACTCTATCATAAGTGGATAGAGTGATGAAAATCAAATTGATTAAACAACCCTTTTGTGTCACTAATATGTTTTTCCTTCCCTAAAAATTAAGACTGCTTTTTTATTTTAAATCAAAATTTAGAATATGATGTATTTTAGATTCTGCATATGGACTGTTCTGTTACACTTACAGATTTGTAACACTCTTTTAATAACTAGCTTTTTAACTGATTTTGATATACAGTAAGGTCAGCCAGGCATCATAATGTAGCTGTTTTGTTTTGTTACTTTTGCTTATTAATTCTTTCAGACGAATTATAGAATTTTTTTTTTCATGTCCTACCCCTCCCAAATCCTTTGGGTTTTTATTTGCAAATACATTCAATTCATAAGTTAATTTGAAGAAATTGCCAAATTTGTAATAATTTTTCTTCTTAGCTAAGAATACAATGTTTTTCTCATTCAAGACTTCCTGTATTAAAGTTTGTCATTATAGCCCCACCAATATAAGTTCTGTACTTTCTAATTTTTATTATTTTCAGGTATTCCTGTTTTTTTGTGAGATTTTATTTTCCCATTAATTTTAATTTTTTTTTTTTTTTTTTAACGTTTATTTTTTTTTGGACAGAGAGCATAGAGATGGGGAAGGGTGAGAGGCACAAGTCCGGGCTGGGCTCCGGCTCTTTCTGAGCCATCAACCCCAAGTCAATTGAGCCTAGCCAGATTCAGCGGACCTTGCCAGCGAGGTCGTGACCTCTGGCTGAAGATGGACTGCTGTAGGCTCACCCAGGCAGGTCCTTTCCATTAATTTTAAACTGGCTTTAAGAAGGCTATTGTAGGGGCGCCTGGGTGTGATGTTGGGTTAAGCGTCCACCAGCTTTCAATAGTCCACCAGATCTGCCTTATGCGTTCGGTTGAGCCCCAGCCAATAGTCAATAATGGCCTGAGCCTGAGCCCATCTGTCTTGTGGAGCCTCTGTTCATTCTGTGTCTCTCTCTGCCCCTCCCGTTCATATGCTCATCTCTGTCCCAAAAAATAAATAAATGTTGAAAAAAAAAAAAAAAAAAAAAAAGAAGGCTATTGTATTCTGAAAAAAAAATTCAACAAAACTTTTCATCACTGAAAATTAGGCTTGTAAAACAAAACAGTGAAAATATAAAAATAGTGAATATTTAAACAAAGAGTAAAAATTATAGGTGGAGCACCAAGGAATAGTGGGATCCACTCCACAGGTCATAATATCTGTGCGTGAATGGTTAAGGGCCCCACCTCAGGGCTCTAGGGTTTGGCACATTTCAGCACGAGCTCAGGCCTGAAGAGCCTGTATGTTTTGGATTTGCTTGATCTGTGCTCTCTCTCTCTCTCTAAAATAAATAAAAACATTTTAAAAAATTAAATAAAGTGCATTTTATTGAGGGAAGGGTTTTTATTATATTTTTATGTTTACCTCATTTATAGTTAGCATTCTCAAGGAGTGTGCAAATTATAATCATAAAGTTCTGTCTTCCCTGAGAGGAACAAAGGCAGAAAGAATCTAAAATTTATAGCAGAAATATCTATTACTAAGGCTAGGGAAAAAGTTCTGGAAAGCGCTAAGATTCCTATCAGTTTGGAAATTAGTAAATATGTAAAATAAATTTGTGACAAGATATCTCTAAGACCAATAGGATAGTATCCAATTTTTTTAAAGTCAGATGCCCAAATTATATCTCTCAGGCCACAGCAGACTATCTTCTTAGGTCCATGCAGGTGTTCTTTTGTTTGTCTTCTTTTGTTTTCCTTTGGCCTCCATTCCTGACTTCCATTCCCCTTTTCCTCCGAGGCACCCATTCTACTGTATTTGCTATGTGTCCTTCCAGGAACCTTTCATATATTTATTTAGATAAGCATCTGCTAAAAGCAGTATGGAGGTTCCTCAAAAAATTAAAAATAGAATCACCATATGATCCAGTAATTCCACTCCTGGGTATTTACCCAAAGAAAATGAAAACAGTAATTCAAAAAGATCTGTGCACCCATATGTTTATTGCAGCATTATTCATAATAGCCAAGATATAGAGGCAACCCAAATATCGACTGATATTACATGAATGGATAAAGAAGTTGTGGTATATACATACAATGGAATATTAGTAATAAAAAAAGAATGAAATCTTGCCATTTGCAACAACATGGATGGAGCTAGAGGGCATAATGTTAAGTGAAATAAGGGAGACAGAGACAAATACCATATGATTTTATTCATGTGTGCAATTTAAGAAACCAAACATATGAACAGAGGAAAAAGAGACAAATAATAAAACAGACTCTTAAATACAGAGAACAAACTGGTGGTCACCAGAGGGGAGTTGGGTAGGTGGATGGGTGACGTAGGTGCAGGGGATTAAGAGTACACTTACCTTGATGAGCTCTGAGAAATGTATAGAATTGTTGAATCATTATATTGTACACCTGCAACTAATATAACTTCAAAAAACAGCTTCACATTTCTTTGAAGGCACTGTGGGAGAATGTGGGATAAATACCCACAAGTAGTATTGCTGAATTGCATGCATATATGAATACTGGATATTGCTCTCTGCCCCCAGAATGGCTCCCACAGTTACATTCCTACCAGTTTTTCCTTACACTGCGTTTTATCTGATTGTCTAATATGTTCCATCTTTATGGGTTTGTCTCATTGTTACAGTTCACATGAGTTAAATGGTATATTTCCTCCATTGTTTTATTGCTGATTTAAGTTTCCCCTGTGAGTGAGTCACCTATTCATTTCTTTTACCCATTTTTCTATCAGGTTTCCTGTCTTTTTCCTGATGATTTCAGGAATTTCTTGTATAGTCAGTCTAGTTGTTAATCATATGTCAGTCTTAGATATTAAAAATATTTTCTCATAATCTGTGTGTTAACACATCTGAGGCATTTTTATCACTGTGTCATTTTAGCAGGTAGCGAGGAGATTGAGGCAAGCTATGTCTATCACTGTGGAGATGGATGAGTAAAATAGGTGTATAGCCTTGACTGAACAGAAACCTTTTATTCTGATGCCATTCGTTCTTCATTTTTTCTCATTGTTTGGGGTGTAGGGTTTGAAAAAAATCCTTCCGCATCTGCCACCCCATCCCCTGAGATCAAAGGTGTTCTTTTCTGTTAGCTTTAATTTTATTTTACCTTTCACACTGAGATTTTAATCCGTTAGAATAGTTTGAAGTTTTGGGGGAGGAGGTCAGTTGTGGTTTCGATATGACCCAAATTTGCATTCATCCATATAAAGATCCAATTTTCCCAATATTATCTACTAAATAATCCATCCTTTCCCAGTTGGTGTGTTTCTGATCCAGTGGGCTCTGTCTTTCTGCTCTACCACCGTTGTGTTTATTACTCTGGCTTTGTACTGATATCACGTGTATTCTTATAAATTTCAGCATCAGTATGGCAGATTTTCCCCAAAATTCTGCTGGCATTTTAATGCAGTTTATATTAAATTTAGAGATTATTTTGAAGAAAAAAAAAAAAAACCTGGTACTTCTGTAAAATCTTTTCATTTTCATGAACACGATACTTGTGTTTTCTCTCATCTTTATTTGAGTCTGTAAGTGTTCTCTATAAGTCTTCTTAAGTTGCAGGTTAAGTCCTAAAGACTTTATAGTTTTGTTACAATTTTGTTGATACCGTGAATGGTATTTAATTTTTTACAGTTGAATTTATAAGTTAATTTTGTGTCTAACAGATTTGCTGAATTCATTCATTAGTCAATCTGCTGATTCTCTTTAATATTCTGTCAGTTTCTAGAGTGTGTTTCATACCTGTATCAATTAGTGATTAATTCACTTCTCATCTATTGCTAAATCTGTCAGTTGTTGGTGTATTTTGAAGATATGCTGTGAGATGCACGTATATTAACAGTAATTAAACTTTCTCAAACTCCTTTGAGCACTTTAAAGTGTCCTTCTTTGCCCCTTTTTTTCTCTTAATTTCCTTTGTGACTGATACAAAATTAACACCCTAGCTTTCTTTTTAAGTTTATATTGCTTAGTGTATAACCTCCTGTGCTTTTATTTTTAGCCTTTTTGTATCTGTTGGTTTTAAGTGAACCTTTGTGAACAACAGTTTGCTGCATCTTGTTTTTTTGTTGTTGTTGTTTGTTTATTTTGAGAGAGAGACAGAGAGAGAAACAGAGCATGGACAGAGAGGAGCAGAGAGAGAGGGGGAGACATGAGAAGCAGGCTCTAGGCTCTGAGCTGTCAGCACAGAGCTCGAACCCATAAACCGTAAGATCATGACCTGAGCTGAAGTCAGACACTTAACTGACTGAGCCACCTAGGTGCCCTTTTATCTTGTTTTTTAAGTCTTATTTGAATGGAGTTTATATAGATATATAAATTTATATATTGTATACAAATTATATACATAGATACATTTATATGTTATATAAATGGAGTTTAATCCATTTATATTTACTGTGATTATGGTTATTATAGGATGTGTTTCTGCCAAACCATTTTTTGGTTTACCTTTACCATGTAGTCTTTCTCTTTCTCTGTCCTTTTTATTTCCTGTGATAAAAGTACATTTACTTTATATTGATGGGAAAGTCTTACGTTGTATTTTTGTTCTTCTGGTGGTCACCTAACTTATTAATAAGACCTGGACTTATGTTAGTTTTTTCCTATCAGGATCTAAGGCCACCAGTCTAGGGACTAGTCTGATTTTGTATAAAATAGGAAGAGTTCATGAAATTATAATTCTACACATGGAAGTAAGATCTAGAAAATTAAACATTAAAAAGAATGTAACAAAGACCCTGTGAGTCAGGAGCAGTATGAATGTTTGTGTGTGCATGATAATCAGGGAATGACCTGTACATAAACAGATTTGTTTTTCTGTGTACGTCTTTTGTGCTATTAATTTGGATTAGTCGCAATCCCCTGTTCAGGATGCTACCAAGAAGGCTATGATTGTTTGCAATGAACTGAAATGTCAGAAAATAAAATGTTAAACTGGATGCCAGGGTTGGGGAGCGAGGGAAGCCCATTAATAAGGAACTGAAAGTAGAAACAGCATTCTTGGAGTAGAACATTTTTAAATTAAAGAGATTCCCTCTTAAGTGGTGAGTATGGCATCTGTGTCATAGAAAAGGATCTTGGATTCAAAGTGCGTGTCAGCTTAGGGGGAACCATTAAGAACTGTGCATTTCATAGTAGAAGAAAGCATTATGAGAATGATTATGAAAATCAGACTTTCCTAAAAGTAAACACACATATAACATTTCTTTTAGGTATCTTCAACATCCATGATCACACCACGGTGGATTGTGCCGGTAAGTGAATGACATTGGCGGTTTTTCTTTTGGTTGCCCTGTCAGAGTAAAGCTAAAGCCTGAGGAAAACCAGGTTCTTGCTTTTCCCTAAAAATGTGGGGGCATTCCCAGAGTTCTGTTAACTGGACTTAATGGCTTCAAACTAGTGATTTAATTTTTCTATTTGTAAATGCTCATTAAGGATGCTGACAAAAACAGAAATAAAAATCTGAGGTGAAAGATGGTAAAAAAACAAACCCAAACAGCCATGACCATCAGGATGCTCTTACTTATGACCATAATCGTTAGAGAAGATGACTCGGAGCTGAAGGGCTGACGCCCGGGTGGGCATTGTCAGCCCTGCTTACATGCCTTGTCTTCTCCCTCAGCAGAGCCGTGTTCTTTCTGATGGACTGGCAGGAAGCGTGCCGTCCTTGGCGGGGAAGGAGGGACATGGTAATAGAGAAGCAGCCTCGCTGATTTCTGCCCCGGCACCATTCTTGGTGGATGCTGTGACCAGGTGAGGAAATTATTTCTCCATTGCAATTCTTAGGCATCTGTTAGGAAGAAATAGTAAAATTAATATATTTATAGCAGTAATGTCAGTTCTTCTTTAATTCAACTTAATTGAAACTGGGTAAATTTTTTCTGTTTGTTATTTAGAATAGTGTTTCTTTCTATTTTCTTGTCAGTTAGTCTTCTACAAAATTATGAAATAGGCCTTATTATTACTAGGTTTTTTTAATGAAATCTTCATAAATGTTAATAGGCTTATCTTGAAAAATTTGTATTTGTTTTAAAATTCATTTATATCTTTTCCTTTCATGCTTTAACTGTTATGTTGTCCATCAGTAAGGTGAAGAGTCATAGATAAGAGGGAGATAGGAGATTCCCAAGGTGAGGCTCTGGCACACCTTGTACTGACACCTGTTACAAGCTTATTTCAGCATATCGCATGCCACAAACAGAAGCTGGACTCAAAAGACCTTTCGCTTGGCGTGTAGTTCTTCAGCTTTTCGTTGTCAGGACCAAAACTGTGCCTCTTTTGCAAAAGATGTACAATTGCTTTCATTCTCACCTCGGACTTTTTTCTGATTATGTCTGTTTCTCATATCTTCTTTGGATGCCGAGAGTGTAAGTCAGTTGAAGTAGATGCTTTCCGAACTAGAGGAAAGTTTCCTAATTAAGTGAAAAAAATTATTAGAGCTGATTAGCTTGAGAGAAATTGATAGTTTCATTTTAAGTCGTTTTCTTATCTCCACAGTCTTTAATATAATCACTCACTCAGCAAACACTTATTGAATGTCTGTTATGTACCAGGCCTTGATTTTATCTGGTTTGGCAGCACTGAAGACAGCAATGAATAAGACAGACATGGGACTTGCCTTGGGGAACTCACGTATAGTTGTCAAATAGCACCTTATACAATCTTAATAGGTTATTTTTCTAACCATTTATATGCCTAATAATTGCCACTGTAAAAATAGAGATTACATGTAGAGGACCAGGTGATAATGCTTTGTAATTGAGTTTACACAATAAAATATGCGTTCTTAAGGACTTGTAAATTAAAAATTACAGATGAAAGAAGATTGTCTGCTCTCCTTCCCAAAACAAAGTAGTCATAGAAGAATTAAAGAGATCAAAGATGACAGTAGTGCACCTGAAACTAATATAATGTTAATATGCCAATTAGACCTCAAAAAAAAAAAAAAAAAAAAAAAAAAAAAAGAGAGAAATCAGTGGAAGAGAATAGAGTCTAGAAACAAACCCACACAGACATAGTTACCTCATTTGTGAAAAAGGGGTGGTGCAGTGCTATGTAGGTGCTACTGACAGACTGGATGATCTGTCAGTAAATCAGCTGGACAAATTAAACATCCGTGAGGGAAAAAATTAATGTTGACCCAACCTCAGACCATACACAAAAATCCATTCTAGATGGATTTCAGATCTAAATGTGAAACATCAAATAATAATAAAGCTTTTAGAAGAAAACATAAGCAAACATCCTAGAACTCAGAAAAGATTTTTTAAACAGGTCACAAAAATCTTTAATCATACAGGAAAAAAATGATAACTTGGGTTATATCAAGAACTTCTGTTTGCCAAAAGAAGTAACTGGAAGATCTCAAAAAGGGAAGCCACAGAGTGAGAGAAAATATTTGCACTTCCTTCCACCTTTGCATTTATCTCTATCCCTCTGTCTTTGACAAAGGACTCCTATCTAGAATATATAAAGAGCTATTGTAAATCAATAAGAAAAAAATAGCTAAATAGAAAAATTGGCAAGACTTGAATAGGGCAGTTTACAAGAGGATATCCAGATGGCCAATAAACATACAAGACAGTGTGCGACCTGACTAGTCACTGAGGAATACAAATTCAGTTTTCTTCTTGTTTTTTTTTTAATCTGCATGCTGGTTACAAAGGTATGTTCAATTTGCAAAAAGTCATCAAGCTGTAAACTCATGCTATGTGCACTTCAATATATATGTGTGATAATTAGTAATTTTTTTTTTTTTTTTTAATGATGACTGGTCACATCTCTACAGATTCAGATTTACTTTGGGTGCTGTGTGTAAAATTTTACTTAAAAAATTTTTTTTTTCAACGTTTATTTATTTTTGGGACAGAGAGAGACAGAGCATGAACAGGGGAGGGGCAGAGAGGGAGACACAGAATCGGAAACAGGCTCCAGGCTCCGAGCCATCAGCCCAGAGCCTGATGCGGGGCTCGAACTCACAGACCGCGAGATCGTGACCTGGCTGAAGTCGGACGCTCAACCGACTGCGCCACCCAGGCGCCCCTAAAATTTTACTTTAAAGGCATAAGACCACAAGAACAAAGAATAGAGGAGAAGACAACAGCAGTTGAAAGATTTCAGGTTGTGGAAGCAGAGAAATAATAGTAACCAACTTCACAGAGAAGGGAAAAATGAAATCTAGGCCTAAAAAGGGGAGGGGGTGGAAACTGAGAAAATAAAAAAGCCAGCCAATTTCCACTGCAGAACCCTGAAAGAGCTCAGGAATTGGAGGTACCAGGTATTTGTGAAGATGGGGCAGAAGGTAGGGCTGAGAATCTGAGGACTGGTTGAAAAGATTTATAGCATAGACGCCCCCCAACCTCACTGCACCCATGCCAGCATGATTTCTGCAGGTTTTTTTGTGGAAGAGCTGGGCCAGAGGGGCTCCAGATGTGAAGAGTTTCTGTTTAGAGTAAGGCTCTGAGCTGAAGCAGAGGTAACTCAAAGTCCGTACACTGAAGGGTGAGACAGCCAACCTTCCTTCTTTCTCAGCTTCCAGAATGTTGTTGGCCAAGTAAAATGTCTTCAGCTGAGAAATAAGAGGATTATTCTCTAGAGAAACTGACCAATAAAGACAAAAGGCTCCCAGAGACTAACTTTTGTGGCTGCCCCGATGAGATTGCCAGGAAACCTGCCCGGTGACTCTACTGCAAGCCCATTAGTGTAGGGAGTGTGCTTATGTGTATAGTTTCCAAATGGCATTCCAGTGCTTCACTTTTAAATAGGAATGGGTGCTTCCTTCATAAGTGCGAAGAGGGCCAAAAATTATCAGATGTCTGAGGGAAAATTAATTAGAACAGGTAAACTGAAAAAGAAACGGGGGAAAGAAAGGAATGTGAACATCAAAAACTTCACAAAACAATAGTTTCTTGAGAGAGGAGATGCTGCATCCGTGCAATAGTAACAGGAAATGAAAAAAAAATGCAGTATTCTTAGAAATTATTAACCATGTTAAAAATAAAATCTAAGGAAGGCGTGGAAGATACATTGAGGAACTCTCCCAAAAAGTAGAACAAAAAGATGAAAATTGGGACAGAAGAGAAAATTGGAGGATTGGTCCAAGGAGTCCAGTATATGAATCATTGGAGATCCGAAAAGAACAGAGTAATTGTAAAAGAAATGGAGATTTCTCAGAACCAAAGTACTTGAGTTTTTAGATTCAGCGGACCTGAGTACCCAGCACAGGGAATGAAAATAGACAACACCAAGGACTCCTATTCAGAATATCTGAGTTAAGAGAGGATGTAAGTCTTCAGAGAGGGAGGAAAAAGTACATGAAAGGATTGGCAATCAGAATGACAGCAGACTTTGCTGAAAGTAAGAAGATAATAGAGCAATGCCTTCAGATTTCAGGAGGAAAATTATTTTTCACCTAGATTAAAAAAATTTTTTTGTTTATTTTTGAGAGAGAGAGAGAGAGAGAGAGAGAGAGAATGCAAGCAGGGGAGGGGCAGAGAGAGAGGGAGACACAGAACCTGAAGCAGGCTCCAGGCTCTGAGCTGTCAGCACAGAGCCTGATGGGGCGCTTGAACTCATGGACCATGAGATCATGACCTGAGCTGAAGTCAGACACTTAACCAAGTGGCACCCAGGCACTCCATACCTAGGTTTTTATATCCAGACTATCAATGAAATGTGAGATTAGAATGAGCATAGAGTTTCTCTAAAATATGTACTTCCCAAGTGGGCTTACTCACTGGAGATGCGTTCCATCAAAATAAGATGATTATCCAAGAAGACATGGGACCCAGGAAACCGGTGCAGGAATTGACCAGCAGGAAGGTGGAGGGAAGTTCCAAGGCAACAGCTGCCCTGCAGGTCTAGAAGTGATTCTGTACAGATTTGAAGAGGGGGATATAGAGTTCCAGGAAGGATATTACTAAGAAAAAATACAAACAAATGGCCTTACCCTAGTGTTTAAACAATTACATGACCTGTCTGAACATACTGTGAAGAGATCCGTGGTTCTATCTGCAAGCTTAGGGACAAATTAGAAATAAGTACAGAAAACTGAGCAGACAGTCACAACAAAAAAGGAAGCAGTTCTTTGGTCCCGAAACAACAAATTGTATAAGAAAAAAACATAATATACGTCTGTCAATTGTGGAAATATTCCACATTGTGGAAATGATTACAACACTGAATATGTGATCAAAATTGTTCCCACAACTGTTGAAAAGATAGGAAGGGAGGATTGGGTAGCTGGTGAATGGGCTATAAGAATGGTAAGCCCTGCCAGTCCATGACAGGAAGTCATTGTAGAAAGAGGCCACTTAGACTCTTGCTGGTTGTGCATCACAGTCACCTGGAGGACTTATTAAAACACAGCTTACTGGCTCCAGCCTCAGAGTCTGTGATTTGTATGTCTCGGTGGTGCCTAAGAATTTGCATTTATAATAAATTCCAGGGACTACACCTTGAGACCTGGAGACACAGAAAAGTGAAGGAAAATACTGAAATAAAAGAAAACTGTTGAAAGTGTTTGTCTCTGTGTAGTAGAAATGAGGGAGGTCGCACATGATGGCTGTTTCATCTATGAAGTTTGTTAGTAGTTTCACCACGTTAAACTGTGTTCTCTGTACTGTATATTTTGAGGTTTTCATGAAACCAAATAGATGACGTTACATCCTTGCATCTGTGTACATGCTCTTCAGCTGTGGCAGAGACTGTTGGGCACTCATGCAGAGCCCACAGCCTTTTCTTTTTCACATAACTGATTACCTGCCGTGGGAACTGAGCCACAGCCATCTGGGACTATCTGTGTAAAGCACAGAATCGTGTGCCCACTTACCTTGGTAGTTTTTGAGCAGGTTGCTGTCATGCTCTGCATAGTATTGTTCTTGCTATTCATAATAACCCTGACTCATTAACAAATGAGTAAGTGTTTGGTACCTTTTATTCAAGGAAGTAGGGGAAATTGATACCTTTAGATTTCATTTCAAGATGAAATAAGCATCAATTATCTAGAAAATTCCCTTCTGTAAATGTCTCATTGCTAAATTTGGTGCTGCAGCATAGTCACTTTAGGTTTTTCACTGTCAACCTGCTCCATGTAGCACTGGTGGAGAAATCCATGTTGTTCCCACCCCAGTGGTTTTACTGAATAATGAGTAACCCATTCTTCCTTTCAGCTCTGTTCCAACGTTGGCCGAAGAAGCCATCTTGAAACAGAAGTGTTTACTGACTACTGAGCTCTGAGGGTTTGGCTCCTTCTCACTTATAACTGGAATGCCCAGCACTCTGCAGCTGTCCGTCCTGGAATCAATTTCCGCTGGAATGTGTTGGGTTCAGGAGCTTGTCCTTACTTGTGAGTTAAAAAAGCTCACCTAGATTAGACTTCAACTCAATGAAAAACATTTTCCGTCCAACTGGAAGGGCTTAATTACACTACGTATTTGATCAAATGAGGGTATCTACCTATAATTGTATTGAAGTTGTCAATTCTTGAAACGAGAATTACTTTCTCTGTGGTTTCCTTCAAACTCTTGGCTCCATCTAGTGGGTGTAATTGTTCATAACCCCTCCATAACCAGAGGTCTCTGGTAGTCAGTAATAGCCTTTTGAATGTTACTTCTCTCCCTAGTATCAGGATAAGTGTCCTTGATCTGAATGCCTGTTAGAGAAGTTGCCCTTATCCATTGAATACCTAGAAATCAGGAATTTAGGAAATTAATGAGGGCATTATGTAGGTAGATTAAGGCCTAGCTTGTTTACAGTTATTACAGTACTAAAAAGAAGTTTAGAATACAGAAGGTTTCCAGATGTCTCCCATACTTTTAACATCTTACTGGACTGGCTATCTTAATACTCCCAAGTTTACATTAAGGTTAAGATAAACTGTGTGTATTTTGCGTCATATTTTTTTTTTTTTTTTCCAGCCCTGCTTCCCTATAGGAAACACTCACATGCACCACACACATAGACTGTAACTTTTCAGCCTGGACGGAGATAGCAGTCACTTCCCCACACTTCTACCAGTTTGGACATAGACTTCATTTCCTTTTAATATGGGCTAAATAAAGTTAGAACTCATCAACTAAAGACAATGAAACAAAACAAAAATACCAGGACAGAAATGGGGAATCAGGGAGTAGGGGGATTTTGTTTCTTGAACACCTACCATGTCTGAAACTACTGTGCATACTGGAAGAACTCCTATCTCACCTTATGTTAGGAATTTTGTGTTAATTTCAAAAAGTTTCTAGAAGTTCCTCGTCACTTTCGGTACACAAAAAAATTCTGGATATTAAAGTAGTACATGCTCATACAGAAAATAACGAAGATGCAAAAATAACCACTTGCAATTCCAGCATCCAGAAAAACACTATTATTTTGGCTTTAAAACTTAAGAATTCCCAGTTGCTACTGGGAATGAGGATAATGTGGAAACCATCTTGGTATAGTTGTTAATCCCTGTGATCAAGGATTGATATCAAACTGTACCTCCTGGAATTTGATGTTTAGTTTTCTGCCCTGTGTTATGTATATAATTGAGTGTTAATTTATGTTGCTCAGCATAAAAGAACATCCAGTTTTGTGACCTTTAAAACTCTGTGGTTTGGGCTGTCCTGGGTTCCCTGTAGCACAGTCATGTGCTCAGGCAAACATGTGCTACTGTCTGATTGGAAAGATCAGGAATTTTAATCTTGTGCTGTTTCCCAGGGAGCTGTAGAGTTTGGAAACCACTTTTGCACGGAACAACTTTGGTGAAGGAAAGAAAGTTGGCGCTTCTTGCTGGCTTCCTCCTCTTAGCCATTGTGCTAAGCTTGTGAATTTCGTTGGTGGAGCTCTTGCCAATTCTTAATTGTTAAACACATTTTCTCGCAGCTGTAAGTGACAGCTAGAACCAGGGGCCTAGCCGGGGACATGCTGGACTGGCCATCAGATTTCTAGTGTGCTGACAGTGCTAGAAGTACTGAAAGGTTCAAGTTGTGCCTGTAACCGCGGTACGGAACAGCTAAGGCATTACTAGCTTGGAAGGCCTCAACTTCCCAGCCAGTTTAGGAGCGAGCACCAGCCTCATTTTAAACTGTTTAAAATTGAGGAATAAGTTGTTAAAAATAGTCTATAACCTCTGTGTCTTCAGGTACCTGTATTCTTGCTGGTTAGAATATTGATAAAGACTTCCTTAAACTATATTTAAACCTCAAGCTAAATTTTGTCTTCTGTCCTGGCATGAAGTGGTAAACATGGAAATTTATACTTTCATGATGAATTAGCCCTGACAGTGTAGGTGCCTGTCAAGTAGAATAACTTCCCTGTCACGTCTGCTGCTGCTGCCTTCCCCAGAGTTGCTGTGACGGCGATCTCGTTCTGCTTATCTGAGAGTGGAGGGGAGAGAACTGCAGGGCTCAGGATATCTGTGAATGTGTCCGAGAGGGAAGGGGAAGGTCCGTCTCTGTGATGAGAGAGAAGCATATATGTGTGAGTCAGTGAAGAATAGGAGCAGAGGAAGGGATTTGAGGTGATGCTGGATAAGAAGGCAGGCTGGTTACAGCTATGGTGGCACTGCCCGCCGGTGACCTTCAGGGCTCAGTCTTCCACTGCAAAAGATTAAAACCCACCTGCACATCTGAATTCTCGGATAAACTAACTGAAGCTCGGATCCTCAGGTGAGCTCAAAGAGCCCCAGTGGCTGTTCCCAATGACAGCTGGGTGGGCAGGAAGTTTTTCTCTATCTAGAATGAGGTTCCCATGCACCTTAGTAAATAGAGCTAAAAAGAAATACTGGCAACGTTATAATTATGTGAACATGTTTGAAAAGAGAGCAAGAACAATAGTTGATTTGAGCGCTCCAGCTAGAAAGCTGTTAGTGTTCTTCCCTTGGAAAGTAGCTCGGAGGTGATTTAGAGCTGAGATAACAGACCCAGATTGGCAACAAATAACAGGAGGCTGTTAGCCACAGGCTCAGCTTCTCTGTGGTCACTTTCTTCCCAGAGTTTCCAGTTCCACCCTGGACTCCAGTAACTCATTGGGGTCAGCCATGAAGGCACTTGTGACTGGGAGCGGAGGGGCCGGCGCCGAGAGGGTGGCAGGCCTTCTTGTGTTGTCCTGAGGCGTCTCGAGGGGCTGAGGGGCTCCCCGAGACTGGGTTGCGGCCGCTGCTCCGTCTCCGGGCTTGCCGTGTATCCCGCCCCAGAGACACAGTACAGAGCCATGCAGCAGGTGCCTGCTGCCGGCCTTGGGGGAGCAGAAAGGACAGGAATCTCAAGTCAGGCCATGTGACAGTCCGGGCAGGGAAGGGAGAGGTGGTTTGGGGGCTTAAAATCAGATTGTAGGCTTCAGCTTTCTGCCCTCAACTCTTCTTCGGAACTTGTAAAGTGATAAATGAGACCCTGTTTCTCCCTGCTGTCACAGTAGCACTCTTGGAGACACTGGAAGGGGGCACCGTTCTCCCGCGCCTGCCCTTCTAGAAGCGCTGCTGAGTTAAGGAATGAGCAGATTCCTTTGAGCTTGATAAATTCAGACATTCCCTGAGCAGCTTTCTTAAGATGTTTATATTGTTTTAGGAAAAATTCTACTTAAAAATATTTCTTATAGCCTGCTGTCTGTTTTCACCTTTATCTGCTTTTGCATAATCACGGAAGTTCTGTGGACAATCAAGGATGAAAGCCCTGGGTTGTCCCTTGCGTCTTGACTGCTTCTTCTCTCATGCTTCCCAATTTTGGCTAAAACCGGCACCTCTGTCTTCTCTTACATAAGCCCTAGAATGAAAGTTCAGGTGTTGTTTCAGAGACCATTTTAGAGCAGGATTATTTGACAGTCTCTTACATAGAGAAAAATCTTCCATATTTTTCCATAAGTAAGGGTCCTGAGAAGCAAAGTTCTTGTCTCCTCATTTAGAGCAGGCACGAGCAAAGTTTTTCTGTAAAGAGCTGAGGTAATACTTTACTGCTCAGCAGTGCCGTTGTTGTACAAAAGTAGCAAAACAGTAGGAAATGCATCGGCTGGCTGTGTTCCAGGGAAGTTCATTTACAAAAACAGGTGCTACTTCCAACTTCAAGCTTCGTAGAGTGGCAGCATGGCTCCCTGGGAGTCAGGCAAGTGTTCAGGTAGGTTCTGCAGCATCGTCCGCCGCTGGGAGACCCCTGACGTTTCTGGATGTTGGCGTCCTCATTTGCATGGACAGGGTGGTCGTGGGTCTCCCAGCTCTGAGCGTCTTTGTGAGGCCTGCCCACTTTCTCATTAATCTTGCCTTCAGCCTTTTGGTTGCTTAGAAACCTGGAGTCTTCTGCAGTTGAAGAATGGACATTTCTGTATTATTTGTCCCTTTTTCCTCTCAAAAATTCAAACACTCTGGTTTTTGAATGATCAGACAAAAGTTGGAAGCTTTTCCTATCTATTAGCCTTCAGGATGAGGAGACTTGTTTGGATTATAGAAATTTGTCCTGAGCTTAAGTCTGCTGTGTGAACATGTGCCAGAGCCGGAATTATTTCCACTTTTAAGATGGGATACGTGAGTCTCTTTATCACATTGCTTGAGATAATAATTCAGTCACTTCCCAGGATTTCTTTTTATCAGGGAGGTGTTTTAGTACAGATCCCTTGCTCTTCTTATTTTCATAAATAAATTTTCTTACCTGGGTATGATAGACAGTTTAAAGGACCTCACTAACTATTTTGTGTTTACTTTTTATATATGTAAAGCTTTGCAGTAGCTTTTAAAGTGTAATTTATTTTTATATCAAGTGCACTATTCATTGTGTTCCACAGCTTTATATGACTTGTATTAGAAGCACTGCACTGAACTGAGTTGTTTGTATACTGACATGACAACCGTAGATGTGACCACAAATAAAGCTTTTGTGAAACATTTCTGTTTTTACGAGCTGTTCAGTTTTTTGGAAGTGTAATACCTACATGGTGCCCGTTTTCTGTCTGCAGCACGATTGTTAGAGCTGCTGTTAGTAGGAAAGCGAGGGAGCGAGTGGAAGCAGTGAACGGGAGGAGCTGCAGCACCGCTCTCTGTGTTCATTTTAGTACGAGCGCTCCAAATTTGGGAGCAGAGGCACTTTCAGAGTTGGAAAAACCTCATTGGTCCTTCCCAGCACATCCTGGAAGCCACAGTGGCCATTCCAGAAGCCACAGGGTACAGCAGAAACACAGCTCTACTCAATACAGGAAACCTTAAATTATTTCAGAAGCCTGCGCCTCACTTCCGTTGTCTGGGACAGGGTGGTACCTTGTACGTGGAGCAGCGTCTTGTACAGGGCGGTAGGTGTCTTCTGTCACGCCACCCCAGGGAAGAACCTTCTGCTGGACAGAGAGTCTGAGCGAGACTCCTGAGACCATTCTCTTCCCTGCTCCCCTCCTCTCCCTTCCGCCCAGAAGACAGACAGCAATTGGCCTTGGAAACCAAGGAGCTTCAATTAGGTTCTGATGAGATGTGCACAGAGAGGCAGGAACCTGGGCTCCATCACCTGTGCTGGAAGCTCTCCTCAAAGAGATTTGGCAACAAGCGACCAAAGTCACTCTAATGTGGGCAGAGTGACTCCTTGGGAAGATCTGGAGAGTTCTCTGACCAATAAGAAGGTGAGACGATGGGTGCAAGTGCAGACTCCTTCTCTGGCAACGGCAGGGACGGTCTGCCTGCTGCCTGACCAGCAGAGGGTACCTCCTGGCACCTTGAGTTGGGGACGGCAGGACACCTGGGAAGGCTGTGAGTCCCCAGAGGGAAGGGAATGGTTACTGGGCTACCAAGACAATCTATACACACACACACACACACACACACATACATACATACATGTATATGTACATATACATGTATGTATGTATATATATTGGTTAAAATATGAAGGAAAAACAAAATTCAGGAGAGTAGACTGCAGCTGGATAATTGCTCTTTTAAGCCTTGGAGATATAGGGCTTGCACTTTTTTTTTTTTTTTAATTTTTTTTTTTTAACATTTATTTATTTTTGAGACAGAGAGAGACAGAGGATGAATGGGGGGAGGGCCAGAGAGAGAGGGAGACACAGAATCTGAAGCAGGTTCCAGGCTCTGAGCTGTCAGCACAGAGCCTGATGCGGGGCTCGAACTCACGGACCGTGAGATCGTGACCTGAGCGAAGTCGGACACTCAACCGACTGAGCCACCCAGGCGCCCCAGGGCTTGCACTTTTAAAAGAAATTGTTATGTTTATACTCCAAAAACATGTATTCTAATGTTATTTCTGTTCTTAAAATATTAAACATTAAAAAAAAATGAACCCAGCATGCCACACAGAAAGGGCTTTTGTGGTCAGTACCAAGGAAAGATAGGAGGGGCATGAAGGGCACTCAGGTCAGTAAGGCCCAAGAAAACGAGCTCAGTGTTGGTTTGGGGGCAGTGTGGTGGCTTAAGGTGATTTGTCCCAGCAGATGTTCAACCCAACTTGCTTAGGTTCCAAGGTTCCATCATGGAGGAGAGACCCTCAGGGGTGCAGAGAGACCCTGTCTCCACAGCAGGGTCGCCCATGCCCTCGTGGGCCCTGGCGGCCACTCCCTAGCTTCCCATAGTGCACCCTTCACGCCTCCAAGTGCATCATGCATAGATCAGAGCTTGCTCGTGCTCTCAAGTCAGGAAATTAGGATGTTGGAGGGGGAGTAGAATTGCTGGATGACCTGGTCCCAGTCTTCCATGCGTAGATCAGAAAAGAGATCCAGAGAGGGAAGGAACTGACCCTTGGTTGTAGGGTCAGGGGTAGGAATTCCCTGCTCTCCTCCTCTCACCCACTTCCCTCAGCACTGCTAGTCTTGGCTCCCCATGCCAGAGTTGCCACAGAGCACAGTGTCACCTTTTCTGTGGCACCTCTGAGGCCCTTCCTGCCTGGCTCCAGAATTCCCATGGGAGAAGCTTATCCATGTCAAACCTCCATGGCTCCAAGCAAAGTCTCCTCAGAAAAAAACCACAGCACAGACCTGGAATGACCCACATACCTCTGCCATCCTTCACGGCTTCAGAGGTCCTGGAACAGCCCCTTCCTCTTCTCGGTACTTCTAGGTAGTAGCCCTACCTCGGAGTGATCACTCCATGTTCACCATATGCTCCCCAGTCCCACTGGTCCTGTCCTTTCAAGAGCTCTGAATATCTTCTAGCCGGCAAACCAATAGGACAGGTGTTCACGGGAAAGTCCCACCGGACACTCAGGGCTCTCACATGGTTTGCCATTGTTTCTTATTTATTTTTTCTGTACAAAAATCTTTAACCTGTAAAAGAAAGAATCATAAACATTTTACGTTATTAGGTCCTCAGATCTTACTCATAGCTGTATTTTGTGCATTTTTACCAACCTCTCCCCATTTCTCCCTACACTAGCCCTCAGTAACCACTCTTAAACTCTCTATTCCTGAGTTTGCCTTAGATTCTACATATAAGTGATAGAATCCAATATGTGTCTTTCTCCATCTGCCTTATTTCACTTAGCATAACGCTCTCAAGTTCCATCCATGGTGTCACGAATGGTAGGATTTCCTTCTTTCTTGTGGCTGAATAGTAATATTCCACTGTATATATGACTCATTTTCTTTAGCCATTCATCCACTGATGGACATTTAGGTTGTTTCCATTCCTTGGCTATTGTGAATAATGCCACTGGTTCTTCTTAATCAGTTTTAGGTTAGGGACTCTTACACATCTGGACCTGTAGGTAGTTTTGCATACAATTCCACGTGCTCATCGATCCCTTAGGAATTCTCAGGTCAGAAGCTCCTGCTCAGGATGGGAGTATCTGGCCAGAGGAGGTATTGGGTGTGGAGAGGGACAGAGAGAAGGAGGGATTCTCCTGGGCAACTGATGGCTCCCCTCCCCGCTGTCTGCAGCACTGGCCAGCGGTACAAGCTCAACAGATGCTTGTGTAACGAAGGCCTGATGGCATACACAGTTCTCAGCCTAGGATAGTCAAGAACAGTACTTTAGGCCAACTGTTGAATTATAATAATATAAAAATATACCCTTTCAGAGCCCTGCCATCAGCCTTTCTGCCTTGTGCTTTGTAAATGGGAGTAAGACTAGTACCTGTGTCATGGCGTGGTGAAGGTTACATGAGTTAATACCAGAACCCATCGGGGCGCCTGGGTGGCTGAGTCGGTTGAGCGTCCGACTTCAGCTTTGGTCATGATCTCACACTCCGTGAGTTCGAGCCCCGCGTCGGGTTCTGTGCTGACAGCTCGGAGCCTTGAGTCTGCTTTAGATTCTGTGTCTCCCTCTCTCTGCCCCTCCCCTGCTCATGCTCTGTCTCTCTTTGTCTCAAAAATAAATAAAAACATTAAAAAAATTTAAAAAAAAATACCAGAACCCATCTACGTGCTCATGGCCCTCAGGTCCCTATCTCCAACCCATATCTCTGCCTGAACCACCCCCCCCCCCCCCCCCGCCACTCCTGGCTCCATGTGGAAGTTACTTGGGTACCTCAGACTCAGTGTATCATAAGCCACACTTAAAGTAGTTCTCCCAAAGCTCCCCACCCCCACATGTGCCCAAACTTCTGCTTCTCAGTGATCCTGGTCTCAGTGAGTTGTTGACTTGCCCTTGATTCCTTTGTCTGTCCTCCCATGTTCTATCAGTCCTCACGCCCTGCTGAGTCTGTCTCTGAAATGCCTCCTCATTTTTGCAACTACACACCTTGACCAAGTCAGCATCTGGCTTGACTTGCATCAGGCAGTTGCCTTTGTCAGATGAATCCATTTTCCAACTGTAACCAGAAATGAGGTCACGCTCCTCCTCAGCACTAAAACAGTAATGGCTTCCAATTGCCCGGAACACAGCATCCAAACTCCTTTGCTGGCTTCCACAGCATGGCCTCCAGCTGTGCTGCTAGCTTCCACTCCTTTGGGTGGCCTGTACTCACTCTCATGACTGGGCCTTCCCTCCTGCTGGGAACTCTGTGGCCCCGGGCCCCGTGCCCTGAGGCTTCTCATTGAGGGCCCAGGTTGCACGTCGCTTCCTCCAGATGTCCAACCCCCCAACGTGTGCTCCAACATCAGCCCATCTCCACTGTCAGCACCTGTGTGAGTTACTTGTTAACTGCCTTCCTGATAATACAAGTTCCTCCCTTGCTGCATCTGGGGTACCTGGCGTGCTTCCGGGCATGCAGTTGGTGCTCAAATGTTTGTTGAATGAAAGCTGGGAACTGGGGAGATGGCCGAGACTGACCCCAAGACCATGCGAGATCTCACCTCAATGGTGCAGACGCACTCCTGCAACAGATGCAAGATACCTTTCAGACCATGTCCGACCAGGTCATTGGAAGAATTGGTAACACGAGTAGTCACATTGACAACCTGGAGAAAAATGTTGCAGACCTCATGGCACAGGCTGGGGTGGAAGAACTGGAGGGTGAGAACAAAATACCTGCCACACCAAAGAGCTGAAGTTTGTTAACTTGCCCTGAAACCCGGAACACCATTTTTACAAGCCAAGAGAAGAACAAATGGCTTAAAAAAATTGTTTTAATGCTAATTTAGTTAGAGAGCAAGAGGGAGACAGAGGATCCAAAGTGGGCTCTGTGCTGACAGCAGTGAGCCCAACACGGGGCTGGAAGTAACAAACTGTGAGATTATGACCTGAGCCGAAACCAAGAGTTGGACGCTTAGCCGACTGAGCCACGCAGGTGCCCCCCAAATGACTTTTTGAAGCAACTACTATATATAGACAAGATTTCTATTATAATGTGTGCATTCTTCCTGTCACATACTCTTGTTAGTTTATAGAGTGATTCACACCCCCCTCCCGGTTTCTTGAACATGGTAACTTCACATCTTGGACCAAACACTAGAGCAGTTCCTGCATAAAACTCTCAAAATTTTTATTATATAAAAGTCAAATGAATGCTGAACTCATTAAGCACCTACTATGTTCCATGGGCTGCACTTGATCCTTAATTCAGGTTTTCCCATTTACTCCTTACAACTTCTGTGGTCTTACGAAGAACCAGAAGTCTGGCTTCCAGTGGGTGTTGGACCAGGACTTGAACCAGGTCTGGATGACTCTACGCCTGAATTCAGCATATCCCGAACCTCAGGCCTTCACACACAGGTCACCAATTGTCCCGGTTTGCCTGGGACAAGGGGGTTCCTGGGACATTGGACTTTCAGTGCTAAAACCAGGAAAGTCCCAGGCGCATCGGGACAACCTGTTGCTCACTGTATTAACAGACCACAATGTTGCCACATTTGTGTGTTACTTAGAAGTTCCTTTAACATCATTTTTACCCACCTGCTTTTACATGGGCTTATCCTAAAATGTAAATCACACTTGTGATGGAATGGTTATTTATAGTTTTGTTAATGTGCAGTAAAAGGAAAGCAGTCTATCTGCATATTACGTAAAGCTATCTCACAGAGCTCCAGGGGTGAGCCTGGCCTGCTTTGTAAAACCTTATCCAACCCTGCACTTCCCCAGACCCAGGATCTGTCCTTCCTGCCTCTGAGCTCCCCAGGAAGCACTGAACTTGTCTTCTTGGAACTCGGTCCAAGAGTATCAGTGCTCACTAGGGTGTGGAGGTTATCACCTTTGATACACAGCCTCCCCACGAGGGCTGTCTCCCTAAGACACCAGCGAATGAGTATCCTATTAGTGACATCTGGACGTGTGTGTGTGCGCGCGTGCTGCAGGGGTTGGTAAGCAGTGTGTCTAGGCCATAGCTGGTACACTTGTCCCAGTCAGGGTATGGACCCAGGTGTGCCGGCTTATCTCAGGCAGGGCCAGAACATAGGCCCAGCTCCTTAGGAAGACTTGGTTGATTTGGTCTTGGGACCCTCTGCTCCCTTATCAAGCTGAGGGCTGTGTCCTGAGTCCTTTGACCTCTGCCTTGACACTTCTGTCATTCAAGAGCTGCCTGCATCTAAATGGCTCTCCCCACCAGTTCCACAGGGGGGCGCTGCAGCACCACAGTCAAGAAATAGAACATTGGCAAACCTAGCCGGTCTGCTCAGATCCCTTCCCAGCCCCCTCCCTAACCACAAAGGTAACACATCCCTTTAGGTACACATCCCTAAATAGAGTTTAGATTTGCCTGCTTTTGAATTTCACATAAATAGAATCATACTGGATGTATTCTTCTGAACTTCTCCAACTTTGTGTTCATCAGTTCACTCAACGATTATTGATTGAGCATCTACTATGTGCTAGGGTCCCTATTAGATGTTCAGATGCAAAGAGCATCTTCCACAACAATTCTGCCTGCACGGAAATTCCATGCCAACAGTGCCCTCCTCAGTGCTCCCCAAGGCCATGCTGACCCAATGAGGCTGATAGTCCTGCCTCCAGATATTCTGGAGCCGCCTTCTTGGTTCTGCTCAGAGTTTTGGAACTCCTTCCTCCATTGCCCCAGATTAAGATACCACAAGAAAAGAAAATTACAGACCAATATCCCTGATGGATATACATACAAAATCCTCATCAAAATACTAATAAACTGAATCCAACAGCATATTAAATGGTTATACACCATGGCCAGGTGGGTTTTATCCCAGGAATACAAGGTGGTTCAACACCAAAATACCAGTGTGATACAACACATTAATAGAATGAAAGAAAAAAAAATGATCATCTCCATTAACACAGAAAGGCATTTGACAAAATCTAACACCCTTGCATGATAAAAAACACTCATAAAATTAGAACTTCAAGGGAATTGCCTCAATGTGATAAAGGCCATATAAGAAATAACCACGGCTAACACCAAATTCAATGGTAAAGCACTGAAAGATTTCCTCCTGATGTCAGGAACAAGATAAGGATGCCCAGTTCACTACTGGTGTTGAATATATACTAAAAGTCTTAGCCAGAGAAGTTAGATAAGAAAAAGAAAGGAAAGGCATCCAAGTTGAATCAGAAGAAATAAAACTATATATGCAGATGACATAATCCCATATATAGAAAATCCCAAACTGTCCACAAGAAAACTACCAGAGCTAGTAAGTGAATTCAGCAAAGTTGCAGGGTACAAGATCAACACACAAAAATTCACTGTGGTTCTATACACTTGCAAAAGCAATAAAAAAAAAAAGATATTAACAAGACAATTCTGTTTACAATAGCACCTAAAAGAATAAAATAACTAGAGATATGTTTAACCAAGAATAAAAACTTCTACACTGAAAACTAAAACAAAAAACAAAAAACAAAAAAAAACAGTTGAAAGATAAAAAAGACCTAACTAAGTGGAAAGATGTGTTCATGGGTGGGGAGACAATATTGTTAAAATGTCAAAACCACCCCAAAAGATCTACAAATTCAATGCAATCCCCAACATTCCAACAGCTTTTTTTT